GGGGGGGGGGGGTGATTTTTCAGGAAAATAGACACCACTGTCCAGATATAAGTTATGTTTATAATCAATGAATATATAAAAGAAAAAATATGATTTAAATACAAAAATGTGTGATTGTGAATGTGCAATGTAGTACACATGATTCAATTTGAGCTAACGTTGCAATTACTTTAGGAGAGTGAAAAATAAATTTTAAGAAAACTAGGCTTTTAAGGCGCTCCGCGCCCATCTTGTATTCAATTGTAAATATTTTCTCTTTGTGTACATAAACTTCCCTTGGGCTAAAAAAATTTGGGGGGCCCGACCGGTTCAGCCGTTTAGACATTTATTGGATACAAACGGACAGACAGACAAACACACAAGCAAAGTATATATATATTTAAGAATGCCTATTCACATACGCTTTTAGATCTAATTGTTCCACCAAAAATCAGTGCTTAGAATCCATTTAATTTTGATGCGGATCCGGATCCGCACTGGAAAAAAATGGATCCGGATTCGGAACTGGATTAAGGTCATTTCTTTAAGATTTCCTGAATTTTTTAACAAAAATAATTTGTTCGTTTTATTTTTTTCGCTTAATTTTATCCTAAAACTTGATGAACCATTCAGAAATTTTTAGTTGATATTTTACCCCTTGGATCCGGATCCGTGGATCCGCATTTTTTTGCGTATCCGGATCCAGGAAGCCAAAATCTTGCGGATCCGGATCCTAAGCACTGCCAAAAATTATATTCGTACATTTAAAAAATATCCATACCCAAGAAAAACATTATCAATAATTTCCAAAACAAACATGTGCTCAACTTGTTTGGGGAGGGGAGGGGGGGGAATGTTGTTTGTCCCAAAAAAAATATCCAACTTATAACTAACCTGATCTCTTTGAGTATATCCTGCCATTTTTCTAAGCTTTGTTTCCCGTTGTAGGACATCTTCTTGATCGCAACAACCTCGTTTGTTATATTATGCCTAAATAAAATATACTTTGTAAAAACATCGGAATTACGAATCTTCTCTTATTCTGTAGTGGCTTCTAAGCTAAGTATCAAGTATTGTTACTGATGCATTCACGTTCATTTAGGAACAACAATAACAAATTTCACGGATTTACCTGTTCTCCTTTGTAGATTATTCAAAATTGTCTTTTCTTTAAATTTTTAACGACAATAACCTTCCCTGGGATCATGTGAGAAAACACAAAACAGCCGGGCCGATCGGTTCAGCTGTTTTGACGTTTAATGAAAACAGAATAATGAATAACAGGAGAATACAAAACGAATACATGATTTAAGAATTGAAAGGGTGTAAACAAAAATTATTTTATAAATTTTCGAATCAAATACCTGGCATAGTAAACAGCTCCGAAACTTCCATGCCCAATTTCTCGAAGATCATCGAATATTTTGTCCGGATCCTCTCTCTCGAACAACTCGGCCACGTCGGGGTCCTTGAGGGACCCCGGCCTAGGGGCCACCGGCATCCTACCCCCCTCAATAGAGTGGCAGGAGGGGTCTACGCCACCCAGTAATCCTCAAAATCCATCCTGCACCTAAACGATTTCTAATCAAACCTTGATTAAAATGTTGCAACTTCCTGATAATTCATTATACCCTACAACATTTTCTTCTTTTTAAAAATTATTAACGAAAGAATTTTAATGGGAATCGTAGTAAAATAATCTGAGTATTTAAAAATGCAAACCTTTCAGAAGTTTACATTTTTCTCACGACCAATCTTCCGCTTGGAATCGACTCGTTCTCAACTCTGAAATATGTAGAGAAACATATTTAGTTTTAGAACAAAGTTACAAGCATGTTTGTGAGACGTTTAAACTATATTAAATAATTGGTCATTATTTACGTTTTTAATGTCGTAACGTATATTTGTTTGATATATATGTGTGAAGAATTTTAAAATCCCTCCACAATTAAGCTGAATAAATTTGACAAATAATAATTGAAATGTTTAAATTGTGTAGGAATTAACAATTTTAAAGAATTTGAATCATTTTAAAGTATAACATATAAATTACTATTTGTACATTTAACATGTTGACATTGAACTCTCAAAAACAACATATGAAAGGGTGATTTTTGATTTTTTTGTAAATTGTTTTGTTTTTAAATAAAAGTTTGAAGACGAATAAGTTTCTTCATCATTAAAGATTTTCAGAATTTTAATAAAATATTTGTATTTAATGTTGAGAGTTAAACGTGTTAATGTAATTATAATTAATCAGTTTTCTCTAACTCCAGGATAATATCTAGATGACGCTTGTTGCTGCTGCTGTTGTTGGGAAGCAGCTAGAGCTGCTGCCTGCGTATAAACAAGCCTAGACGGGGCGGTGCTGATCATTGAACTCGCCACTGACGCAAGATTGGCCGCCGAACTACGCAGTGGGAATCCCGAACTGATAGAACCTGAAGGTCGACTGGCGCTTAATGCCACGGCCTGGGCATGGGAAACCGGCGCTAGACCAATCCTTGCCCGGTCCGACGGAAAGGAAAGCTTTTGACCGGCAGGGTCAAGCTGTTGAATATATCGGCCCGGCTGGGATAGATAAACCTGTTTTCTATCTTCTTCTCGGCTACCCTGAGTCACAGCAAACGGATACGCACCGCTGGAAGTACTCAGCGCGTAGGTCGGAGCGCCGGTCGATGACGCCGAAGGATGACCGTAAACAGAGCTGACAGGAATGCGCCCCAGCATCGGCGCCGACCGGTAATAGGCAGAGTTTACATTCGGCAGGGGAGCGCGTGGCGGAGATGGACTTCTCTGCCGTTTAATTTGCGTAACCCCGGCGGGTAAACCGGGCAGGTGTGGTTTCATATAATGACTGGGTTGTCGGGATTGTGGATTCATGTAAATGTGCTGGTTATGGGGGGTATGACCGGTTAAGGGCATAATTGGCGGATTTGTAGATACGCCATATAGTATGTTCATTTCATCAGACTCCTTTCGTCGCCGAGTCTCATCCTCGTTCAACACTTTCTTCAACGTGAGAAAGAGCTGATGTTTTTCATCCTTCAGCTGAGTCAGTTTTCGCTCAAGTTCAGAAATCTGATCTTTAGTTTGCTCAAGGCTTGTCGCTTCCTGTTTCTTTCTGTACTCGCGTTCCTTTTTCAATCTTTCGTATTCTTCCGTTTTCTCTTCTTCCTCCTGTTTCCTCTTTCTCTCTGTAATAATATGATTTCTCAGCGCTTCCCATGTTGCTCGAGGCATCTTGGGTCTATCATGAATCACCGGAGCTGTTTTAGGTTTGTCCATTTTCCAAATTTCTCTCTGAAAGTATTTAGAATAAAACCTACGACATCTTGAACAGAATGAAAAATAACTGAATTTTGTCACTTATAACAAAATCACATTAAGTTTTTAAAAATAATTGATTAACAGGCCGAATAAAAACATTGGTCTATGTTCGTAGATTTTCGTGAAAATGGCAGGCTAGAGTACGCATGCGCGAGAAATTATCAGCATTAAACTGCATTTAAAAACCGACTTTTTACACTTTCGCCCCTTTTAAAGTATAATAAAAAATATTCCTTAATTACTCTCAGAATGTTGGGAGTCTTACAGGCGAAAATTGGTATATGTAGTTGTAACAGGGGGGGAGGAAGGCAGTGCCCCTCCTGGGCAGTGTGGAAACGTACAGGGGTTTGGATGGCTTATTCTGATAAAAAATGAATAGCTTAAGTTTAAAAACAAAACAAAAGCCAATAATTTCATTCATAATTTTTAAAACACCTTTTAAAAAAAAATGATGGAAATAATATAATATCGATATTTTAGGTAAAAAAAAATTTACTCCAGAAGTAGAGCGTTATTCATAAAGTATAGTCGTAGCTTCGTAAGGGTGGATCCGCATTTGAACTACTGCCGTTTGAACTATGGTACGTTTGAACTATTGTTCGTTTGAACTATTGTTCATTTGAACTACTGACATGACGTCATATCCTGTAGTTTAAATCAACGCATTTCTTACTCATTTGAACTATTTTTCTACCCCAATTCAGTTTTAAAATTTTTTTTATAATCTCCATAAAGTTATATTCATGACAATTAATTAGATAAACATTACACAGAATGAACATAAAAATAGTTCAAATGAACATAAAAATAGTTCAAATGAACATAAAAATAGTTCAAATGAACATAAAAATAGTTCAAATGAACATAAAAATAGTTCAAATGAACATAAAAATAGTTCAAATGAACATAAAAATAGTTCAAATGNATTCTTTTTTTCATTTGAACTATTTTTATGTTCATTTGAACTATTTTTGGTTTATTTCATTAATAATATTTTAATAGTTCAAATGAAAATAGTTCTAATGAACTAAAAAATAGTTCAAATGAGTAATATATTTACTCGTTTGAACTATTGTTCATTTCAACTACTCACGTGGTCCCACGTGCAGTAGTTGAAATGAACAATAGTTCAAATGAACAATAGTTCAAACGGCAGTAGTTCAAATGAGATAGCACCCTTTGTAAGTCATACTTCTTTGTAAGTCATACTCCTATAGCCACGGCTATGACAGGCTAGCTGGGGCCGGGCCACAATTGTCCATGAGCCCGATTTTTTTGTCGAGCTGTAACTTGCTTTGACTCTGACTATGATTTGAGATCATAGCTACAAGGTTATAGATTTCAGATCATTATAGTCCAGGGGTCCAGAAATAGTTCTGTATGAAATTACCCAAATGAAGTTCATATACTGTCAAATAGAGGTTGAATATTTCTGGGCCGAGCGTTGTGGCTAGGGTAGACCTTTAAGTATTTTCAAAAATATCAATATTCAATCCATACTTATGATTAAAAACATGCTTAACTTAATTAAATATCAATGAGAAACGGATTTTCTTGTTCATTTGAACTATTTTTTTTTGCCGATTGTAACTATTTTTATGTCCATTTGAACTATTTTTCTTTTTCTGTCCATTTGAACTATTTTTTTTGGTTCATTTCAACTATTTTCATGCATCCAATTGAATTATTTTTATATTCATTTGAACTGTTTTTTGTTTATTTCAGATACAGCGTGTCCCACAAAACATGACAATAGGAAGACGACTTGAAAGTCGTCTTTGGTATTTGAATTTATTTGTGACATTTAGTCTTATATCTAATTTAACATGTATGATTCTTGAAACAATTATCACATAATTCTCCTAGCCCTGNGGGGGGGGTCCAAAAATCGTTCTCTAGGAAGATACCCAGCCCCCATCCCCCCCTCCTATCAATTTTGAACATGACCAAATTAGTAATTATTTAGCATTATTTAGTTGAAATGTATAGAGTCTGTTTGTAAAGAATATCCTCTCTCTAGAGGATGCTAGCGATTTTCTATGATTTAGGAAAATTCAAACTGGATATTAGCTAGCTAATAATTTTACCCCTTCCTTTTACTTTTATTTACAGATTTTATCTTTGCCTACTTCAGGGAGAAAAGAGTAAGATTAAACTGTTTAAAAATGACGGATGGTTTGAAAATATATTTTTCCCCTTGCTTACAAATAATGCGTTCCCCTTGTGGCATAAAATTGTCGTCTTATAAGGCTTTATTGTGCTTTATTGACCTAGCATATAAAATCCGTGTTTCTAACGGATTTCCCAATATAAATTTAATGCTTTGCAGTTAAGGGGTTTATGAGTTATGATCGGACATCCAAACCAACCAACAGAGAATACTTGAGAATACTTCTTAAAGGGACTGTAAAGGAAAAATGAAAGGGGGTATAGGCTGAACCCTGAGAATCTCAGGATTTGATTGAAACCTTCAAGAGTTCTATCTGATATTCTTGTTTCGAGAAATTGATAAAAAAAACTGGCAAAATTATACCAAAACTTATATGTGTCAGATTGTTTATACAATTCGTTGTATTAAACAGATCATATTCAACAACTACGTAACCAATCTGATAAAGACGATATCCTAGAGGAGCCTGAGAAACTCAGGTTTGCTCTTATCATTTAAATTTAATAATTTTTTATTTTTAAAAGATATACTAAGGCATCCCACATTGTTATTAGAATCAAATTAACGGAAATTGAAAAATTAAAATTTCCATTGGTTCAAATTTTTCAAAATATTAATAAACCAATTGATGGGACAAAAACAAATGGCCATTTTTAAAGAATTAATGTATTTTGCAAAAAAGTGGCTGGTAGATGTTGGATCCGGATCCTGGGTCAGCACTGGAAAAAATGAATCCGGAACATTTCTTGTAAGATTTAATGATTTGTTAAACAAACAAAAAAACTTTCGAATTAATATATTTTATTTCTCTCACTTAATTTTGTGCTAAAACTTACGTACAATTCAAAAATAAGAAACATTATGATAATCAGGGGCGTATTCAGGAATTTGTCCAGGGGGGGCTTAAAATTATTTTCTTTCCAGGGGGCATGAAACCCCCCTGAAATCAATAGATTTCACTGGTCCAGGGGGGCTTAGTCCCAGTAGCCCCCCCCCCCTTGAATACGCCTCTGATGATAATCTCTTTTTTTCAACACATTTATTTTGCAGTATTTGGTTGATATTTTGGCTTCGTGGATCCGGATCCAAGAAGCCAAAATGTTGCAGACCCAACGGATCCGGATCCAAAGCACTACTTGTTGGAATTAAATATTATTGCAATGAAATTAATTTTAGAATTTAATCCATTAAATGAAGTATGACAGGATGGAATGCATTAATATTAAATTCAATATTGGTTAACATACAATACATCATATGATATATTCATTTTACAATATGCATTAATTAATTGTAGATTTTATTAGAATATCAACATAACTTTTAACTCTTTAGTTATTTTATTTTAAGGAATAAAACCAGAACGTTATTTTTTTTGCGCTTTGCGGAAACATGCCTAACTTGTTGATGAAAATATATTTATATAAGATCTACCCTGGCTGCCTCAAACTTGGAGACGTTCACTTACAAAGTTATGCAAGGATTTAAATCATGTCTAATTTATAAATAGGCCACATACATTTCATACAGTTTAGGAATATCATCATTTATTAGAGTGGGACTTTTCACTCCCCATGTAAAAATTTCACAACGCTTAAAACTTAAATCTGAGTAGCAATGAGTGAGAAATTGGCGTTTTGTTATCTTAAAAAGAAATAAATTTGGTCAATTTACTTCCTTGTTTTTGCTTGTAAATCTGCAATAAAATAACACTATTTAGGGTGAAAAAAATATCTTTTCACAGGGGTGTATTGTTTATTTTTCTGTTTGGGGAAAAATAAAGGAAATAAATGATATAGGAGGAAAGGGAAATGAGAAAGGGGTAAGAGGGAAGAAAAAACTAATAAACATATTCCATTGATTTGCGTAGTCTAAAAAAACCCAAAATGTCATGTTAAATACTAACACAAATGCTTGAAAATGGCTTTTTACGAATTTCTAAAAAATCTCAATTTTGCTTAATCAAAGACTAAATGGGTTAACGTTGTGAGTGTGACTCGGGCATTTGTATCTCCGAGATAATTATAATAATGGGGTTATTCTGAACCGGTTTTCTTCCATATTCTGAACCGGCTTTCTTCCATATTCTGAACCGGCTTTCTTCCATATTCTGAACCGGCTTTCTTCCATATTCTGAACCGGCTTTCTTCCATATTTTTTTCATAGGAAAAAGCATATAACCGTTCAACTTTGTCAACAACTAAAAACTAATACTACCAAGTAAGATTGTATAAGAACTTCTTTCAAAGTTAAGTGTTTTAAACACGTTATATGTATTTTTAAAAAGGTTTAAGTGTTTTAAAACACTTTTTTAGTGCTTATGTGCAAGGTGAAGTTATTTTAAAAACACGTTTTATGTGTTAATATACAAGTTTTTGCGTTTATCAACACGTTTTATGTGTTTATATGTTTTCAACGTTTTTAAACACGTTTTATGTGTTGCACAAGGTTTAGCTATTTAAAAGCACGTTTTAAATGTAAATATACTAGTTTTATTTTTTTCTACCGTGTTTTATGCGTTTTTGTATACGTTTTTAGCGTTTTTAACACGCGCATGTGTTCATGGTTTACGTTTAATGTGTGTTACAATTAAGGTTTGGACCATAACTCTATTTCAAATTTACATATTACATTATACATTTCAAATTTTTAATAATAAATTAAATTATACATAAAAATCAAATTCAGTTTTATCATGACCCTAATCACTCAATGGTATAATCTTACACTTCATATATTTAGGAACGGGTTTTGACATTTTAATTGAATTTGACAAGGACAATATAATATCTTTAGAGGGCTCTATAAAAGAAATGGGGACGGGGGGGGGGGGGGTGTTGATTTGCAACTCTTTTAATTTTGTTTGCTCTTCAATCTTAACTCTTTACTTTGCAATATATTATTCAATTTATAATTTTTTAAAAGAAATATATTGCTAGTGTTCCTGAAATATATTGCTAGTGTTCCTGAAATATATTGCTAGTGTTCCTGAAATATGTTGCTAGTCTTCCTGAAATATATTGCTAGTGTTCCTGAAATATATTGCTAGTCTTCCTGAAATGCCCATGAGCTGTACCCCTGTCAATTATTTTTTAAAGTTAGTATTGCAATTAAACCCCAATTAAATTATATCATGCAGATACCGTGCGTAAAAGAAAACCCATTACCCGTAGAACTGTGCACGTTTGACTTTTTTTTTTCTAGCGTTCAAAATGCTACAGTGAAACCCTTAAGAACGAATACATCGAAAGAATTCATGAAATGTCGTATTCTTCATATTCTGATAATGGAATGTTGAAGATATTTAGTTTTTTTATTAAATGATTATATGGAACTCTTTAAAACTGTTCCCGCATATTCATGGCTCTTAATTTATTTGTGCAAATACCGAAATTTACGAAATATAGTATAAAACTCATTGAAAAATTGTCTTGACGACATTTGATAAATTCTTCCGATGTATTCGTTATTTAGGGTTTCACTGTTGTTTTCTTTTGTTCTCAAAATTATCGCTCATTTTCCATCTTTTTCATTCGCTCAGTAGAAAACAACCGTTTTTTTTAAAGATTTGTTGATTTTTTAAATCAATAATTTTTCGTTTTGTTCTATATGACACTCTTTTTCACGAAAATTTCGTTTGGTTCGTTCAAAAAAAACTGTGCCCATCTCTAATTACGTGCGCGGTAAAAAGTGAGAACGCGCTTGAAGGTTAAAAGTTGAACCTGGTTTTATTAGGCTCACGGAACCTCTTAATTCTATCACCGGTGGTCTAGGAGGGGGGGGGGTGACAGCTACCAATTCA